GGAATGCCAAGGAGGAGTCCAATGTGTTGGATGGCTTCTGCATGGTTGCTCTCTGGTCATAGCCACTAGTAGGCCTCCTGGTACCTTCTCTACATGTGGATTTCACACACTTCGTTTCCTGCTCCCAATCTTCTTCAAGACTATGCCTTTCCTCCACAGTTTCCATTTCAATGATCAAGATTCTAATTTGAAATGAAAACCACTAAATCATTACCTTTTTCTCTCTTTGTAGTCCTGCTATAACTGTTACAAGAATCTTCCCCCTATCCACACCTTTTTTTTTTTTTTTTTTGAGATGGAGTTTTGCCCTGTCACCCAGGCTGAAGTGCAATAGCACCATCTCAGCTCACTGCAACCTCCACCTTGTGGTTTCAAGCGATTCTCCTTCTTTAGCCTCCCGAGTAGTTGGGATTACAGGTGCACCCCACCACACCGGGCTAATTTTTTGTATCGTTAGTAGAGACAGGGTTTTAACATGTTGGCCAGGCTGGCCTCAAACTCCTGACCTCGTGATCTGCCCTCCTCAGCCTCCCAAAGTGCTGGGATTACAGGTGCATGCCACCACGCCTGGCTAACTTTTTCTATCTTTTTTTTTTTTTCTTTTGAGACGGAGTTTCGCTCTTTGTTACCCAGGCTGGAGTGCAATGGCGCAATCTCGGCTCACCGCAACCTCCACCTCCTGGGTTCAGGCAATTCTCCTGCCTCAGCCTCCTGAGTAGCTGGGATTACAGGCACGCACCACCATGCCCAGCTAAATTTTTGTATTTTTAGTAGAGACGGGGTTTCACCATGTTGACCAGGATGGTCTCGATCTCTTGACCTCGTGATCCACCATCCTCAGCCTCCCAAGGTGCTGGGATTACAGGCTTGAGCCACCACGCCCTGCCAATTTTTTGTATCTTTAGTAGAGGCAGGGTTTCACCATGTTGGCCAGGCTGGTCTCAAACTCCTGACCTCGTGATCCACCCTACTCAGCCTACCAAGGTGCTTGGATTACAGGCATGAGCCACTCTGCCTGGCCAAGAATCCTCATTCTTTTAGAGGCAAGTGGATGTCTCTTCCTACTAGGGAAAACATCAGGAAATGTAAGAGCAAAGAGCCCAGAGAGTACAATTGCTTTCTTTTTACCCCTAAAATCTGGCCATAGCCTACCATATCATGCTGTTCTCTGTGATCGCTGAGCAACAGAGCCTGGCAACCCCGGGTCTAGCTCTGTGACCTGAAAGTCTCGATTTATCCACTCTGAAATGCTCCACTTTCAAAATGCCCAATACCTTCAATACCTTGTTGTGCCCTCATGTTAATACCTCCTGTGAGAAAGAAATACAATGTTGTCATAAAGATTTAGCCTGGAAGAAACTGAGTCTTGAGAAAAAAAATGATTACAGATTAAACCTGATTCTCATAGTTTCTACAAATATTAATTAAGCATAAACATTGATAGACCAATCAGCAAACATTTATTTAGCACCTACTGTTTACTCTGCAAAACAGATGACACAAAGAGAAGTAACACATGCTTCTATGCTATACAGACCCACAGCCCTGCAGGGAAGAGAGATACATGCAAAAATATACTAAACACTAAGTGGGCCATAGCAAAGGTGAGAACCATGGTTCAGACAGTATCTTGGGAGTAGAGGAGAGGATACATCAGTTCTTACAGGGGATCTGTAAAACTTCTTGGGTGAGTGGGATTTAAGCAGGACCTTAAAGGGCAGTGATATTGTTATTGGTGAATATGATGGAGAAAGACATCCTAGGCTGCAGGAGTCGTTTGAAGAAAAGCGTAGAGTTGGGAAAGTGCTTGGTATATTTGAGTAATTATGAATTAACCAGTGTGAACATAGTATGGATTCAGGGAAGGAGTGTAGAAGTAGAAGCTAGAAAGATAAGTTGGAAGCATACTGTGGGAAAGAAACCAATAGCCCAATGAGGCACTTTGTCTTTATTCTCTGTGCATCCAGGAAGTATTGAGGGTCTTTGAGTAGGGAGATACCAGAAGCAGATATTTCTCTAAAAAAAGAACGCTGATGTCACTGTGAAGAATAGATCCTAGATGGCAGGAAGGAAGCAAGACCTGGTGAAGGTAGCAGGAACTTGAACTAAAGCCATAGAGGTGGCAGTGACCAGGAGAAGATGAATGGGAGAGGCATCCGAGATGCTACATTCATTCGAAGATGGCTGGCAGCACACGGCAAATAAAGCAGAGGTGAGCTGAGAGGGCTGACCTTGCACAGGCAGACCCAGCCTGGGATGCTGGATTCAAGCAGACTCTGAGGTCAAGGAAGATACCAACTACAAGCCCAGAAGTCAGTGGTCAGGGATAGCCATCCCAAGCAAATTCTTTTCCTCCCTAGGATGCCCACAGGGGTATCAACTGACCTTCTGCTTTGCCTGTGTGGAACATCAAAATCACTGATTTCTAGACTTGGGTTCTTAGTCTGGCAGCCTCAGGAACCCTGGAGAGATTTTTAAACAACTTGCCGGCACCTTCCCATGAGATTCTGCTATGGGACCCCCGAGATGGGTCTGCAGTGGGACCCAGGAAACTGTATTTTATAAAGTTGCCAGATGATTCTGAAGCACAGCTAGATTGCCGAACCACTGTGGGATCTTACTGTTGTGCTGGGAAATGTATAAAAAGCAAAGTTGGGCCAGGCATGGTGGCTCACGCCTGTAATCCCAACACTTTGGAAGGCCAAGGCAGGCAGATCATCTGAGGTCAGGAGTTTGAGACCAGCCTGGCCAACATGGTGAAACCCCATCTCTACTAAAAATACAAAAAATTAGCTGGGCATGGTGGCACATCCCTGTAATCCCAGCTACTTAAGAGGCTGAGGCAAGAAAATCACCTAAACCCAGGAGGTGGAGGTTGCTATGAGCCAAGATTATGCCACTGCACTCCAGCCTGGGCAACAGAGTGAGACTCCATCTCAAAAAAATAAATACATAAATAAATAAATAACAAAGGTGGACACTTACTCCTGCTAGTGATCACTATGATGATATGATGGCCTAGAGACCTTAGCTTTTAGTCTCCAATGCTGTATCTCAAGCACAATGACCATCACTGAGTCCTCTTTTCACCTCCCATCCCCAACCCTGATCCTCAGCAAACACATCAGTCAGGTCTTCCAAACTTCACAGAAGGATGGCGTGTATACAAATCATTTCCATTCTTGTCCTTAATTGAAAAAGAAAGCGAGCTTGGCAATGTCACAAGGATATCAAGAAAGCATCTTTTCACAGGATATTTTGCATCTTTGGAAAACAGGCTACATAATAATACTATTCATTTTCTGCCTTGTGTACCACTTATAACACTTTTACTTTGTTATTGTTTTTATTTCTCAGAAGAAAATGATGCAGTTTAGAGGTAAGGTAGGTGTTAAAGACTTCCCTTGTATACACTGGGCTCTGGGTGATTCAGTGACTCATCAGAGGTCAGATGACCAGAGCTGGTCTAGAATTCACTCTGTCCTCCTGAGCTCCAGTTCTGCTTCTGTGCCATAATGGAGAGGAGTAACATAAAGGCATTTTTCTCTCCTTGTAAAAGAGAAAAAATGGGGGGAGAGGGAATTACTTAAACACACCTCACTCATACTGCAATCACTGCATTGTTTTTCCTGTTGAAACACCCTGTTGGTTTTCAAATCCCTTTAAACCTCCCCGGCACCTGTATGGCCCAGATCCAGGAATTATTACCAAACCCCTAGCTTTTTATATTTAGCCACATAGGAGTTTCTGTGATGGTAACGCTCTTGGTTCAGCTGAAAATTTCAGAGCCCTCAGAAGTTTCTTCTTTCTTAGCAGCTGGAAGCATGTAATGCTCAGACCTGAATTTTCTTGTTTAACTTAAGCAGGGTATGCTTCCCCTCTGGATAAAATAGTGTTGTAGCACAACCCTATATTACTCCTCTGTGATGGTCCCTCTGAAATATTGATCAAAAGAGAGAGCAGGGAAAAGATAGGGCGGGGGTCCGAGTCAGCAGCTTCTAGTATGTGATATGACCCTTCTTCAGAGAACAGAGAACTGAAAACACAGAACTGAGGTTGGCAACATAATGAGAACTTACTTCCCAGCAAATTCATTATAACAAAGCATAATGTGAGTTCACAGGGCACAAAAATAGGCCAAAGGAAAGTGACTCCCACAGAAGACTTAATTAAATACTTTGATGTCAGAAAGCAAGGCCGGGAGAGGTGAAAAATCAAATCAAACCAACGTGAAGGGCCTGAATTCAAATGGAAAGAAGAACTATTTCTCTCTCTTTCACTCTCACTCTGTCTCTCTTTCTCCTTTTCTTCCTTTGCCATGGAGGAAGAACAAGATTCCGAAACAATGGATTGTAAATTCTTCAGCCAATTAGTCCAGTGACTTACTACTGTTTATAATGCACAGAATGTCACAGGCTGTTTTGCAGCCGCCCCAAGTTGGTTTGTTAATAACAGGAAGCTAGCACTTCTCAGTACAGTGGATCAGCTACACGTGAAAATAAATGCAAAAAACCTGGCGGGGAATAGCAGCAGGCCGAGAGTAGCCTTGATTTAATTTAACATTTGGGGGTCCACACACAAATGAGCATTTTAGTAGGCTTCATGGTGGAAGTTGCTGTCATTTGTAAAATATTCTGGCCAATTAGCTAATAGTGTGCTTGGATTTCTCCTGTTTTGATACAGTAATACTAAGTACATTGTGAAGCCCAATTATACAAATCATCCCCATATGCCATACCAGTCTTTCTTTATGAACTGTGTTTATAAATCCTGTGTGAGGAAATGTGTACTTCAGCAATTTAGACCATGTGTAAAAACATAGCCAATGGGATTGTCAAGAAAACAAGTTCCAGCCTAGGAAATCCTAATGTGTTCCGCTGGAATAACAGGAGGGTGCCGGGACTGCAATGCTCTGCTTAAATACATATTGCTTTATAGTGTTTAACTGATTCAGGGGCTTCCGCTCCCCTTTCTGTTATATTATTATTCTTTTCTTCTAGGATCCAACCTTGGAGTTTTTGAGAAAATTTGGGATTGGTCTTCTCTCGGGGACAATAGCCTCAGTCATTAACATCCCTTTTGATGTTGCCAAAAGTAGGATTCAAGGGCCTCAACCAGTTCCTGGAGAGATCAAGTACAGAACCTGTTTCAAAACAATGGCAACAGTCTATCAGGAAGAAGGGTAACATATCACATTCTTATTTTAATAAATGTACAAGGCTCATGTATTGTTAAAACCAAATTGTCCTTCCATTTAGATGAGAACCAGTAAGCCCTCCTAAGTAGAGTTTATGTCTAAGAAACTGTGAATATGTATGACAAACTTTGCAAGACAACACAATAACGAGATGTTGTTAACATGTACTTATACTATCAAGTGACAATATGCTGCGTATTTGCCCTAGAATGCCAAGGTGAACTTTTCACTTGGCAGTTTGCATAATATAGTATTGTATGTTATTTGTCCTATTAATACATAGGCAGGAGAACAATTGTCTTCTGACTGTAAATCTCATCAAAGTGCCACCTAATTATATTCTCCTGAGAGAATGATAGAGTTCTGTCAAAATACTTTAAAAAATTTTCAGTATGTGCATTTTTCTGACTTTTAAAAAAATCTTTGTTTCTTTACCCCTCTTTTTCTCAAGTAAACAAGTAATACTTTATTATTTTGATCTAAACTGCATCATATTTCCTAATATAGAGACTGAGTTTGTGGTCTTTTAAATTCAATTACAAAAGTTATTCTGTCCATATACACAGCTGTCTTGAAAGTAAGACCTGTCGTGAAAGCAAAAACCATCTCGCTGATGAAAGTCATGTTTCTGATTGGACAAGACCCGCATAGTTGGGTAATAAAGAATTGATTAACTCTTTCCCCACTTCCAGTTTGCTGCAGAGAATACTAAAATGCTGTCTGCTTTGAGGTGTGTGTAATTCCAGTAATTTATTTTTTTAATGCTGGACCCTCATCTCAATAAAGCTAAGGTACAACTCCATTTATTTTCAGAATAAGAATATTTCTCTTTCCCTTCCCATTACAGGATTTTAGCTTTGTACAAAGGCCTGCTTCCCAAGATTATGAGACTTGGACCAGGTAATGATATTTTGATTATTTATATCCTTCCTTCTTCATTGTTCTAGTGTCTCCTTTTTTGTTAGTTGTGCCCAGCAGCAACACAATAAAGATTTGCCACTTTGTAAGACAGAAACCTTGAGAATATAAAGCTGTCTATGAGTATTTGAGATACTGAAGACATCCATTAGAAATGGTCTACCTTTGTTTATTAAGTACTATTTATGTCCTTGCTGAAGGCTGACAGCAGCCAAAGCCCAGCTTAAGTCAATAGGAAGAAGCCCCAGGCAACAGAAGTTTGAGTGAAAACCGAGGTGTGTGCAGTGGCTTCTGGCTAAAGGGGAGAATTTTTACTGAGTGAGGGGCCAGCCCAATCAGTTTCCTTATGCTCCTAATTAATTCTTGCTCCTGCCTCAACTTCATTTCAAAAAGAGAAAAGGAGGACAGCTTGCCTCCATGAACAGCAAAAGCCTCTCATCTTCACAGTCACCTCTGGGGAGTGGTGACTCTGTAACTAGCCGCTTACGTCTCCTGGGCTTTGTCAGCATGACGCTGGAGGCTCCTGGCTCAGGCCCTTGCTTCAGGATGCCAGCCCACACAAAACCGGCTGCCATTCCCACAGGGAGAATCAGCTGCCTCTATGTAAATAGATAAGAAAATAACTGCTGCAGACTCAACTGCCAGGGCATATAGTCTTGGGTTATAAGCAACCTTGTGAATAAATACAAAAGTATGCTCTAGACCACACAAATTTTTTTATCAGGCTACACTCACCTACTTATATGTACTGGTGATATTTCCTAGAGCCTTCTCCTACTCCTCCCCTCTCTCTCCTTGTGGTTCCTCCATTTTAACAACACTGTCCTGCTACCCTACTACACGAACACACATGCACGTTCACCTTTAGATCTCAGCCCAATGAACCAACATTTCTATTAACCTAAGATAGAAAACAACAGTCTGTACATTGAAGCTGGTGAACAGTTCACACTTTCATATACTTAGGAAACACTTCCACAGTTCCCAACCCATCTCTCCCAATCTTTCTAGGCCTTTCCACATAGATTTTGCTTCATATTTGAGAGTCAGACCTACCTTCTGTTAGTCATTGGCCCATGTGTAAATGAGAACCCAGTAACAGAATTGTGGGGAATTTTATGTAGCTCTGCCAGTATGTGGTGTTTTTCCTTCACCACAGAGTAAAAGCCTGCTAGTAGACCTAATATTAGAGGAAATCACAGCACCAGCCCTAAACCAACTTTCTCAGAAAGGGATGGGCCTACAAAGAGTGGTGACAAGGGAGAGGTTAGCTAAAATGGTAATTGACTGGAACCTTCATCCAAAACTCTTAAATAGTCTGACCCCAAGTTTTGTTAGAGGCTTGCAAATGTTTGGTTGGCTTTTTAAATGTTTTGCATGAGGGGTCCTGAGTTGCTTTGGTGTTGAACTCAAAGAAAAGTGTTCTTAGGGACTAACTGTCCAGGCTAAACCAAACTGCGAATAACTGGAAACCACTTACAGGCCTGCCCTCCGCTTCATTCCAAGTGTGTGCATCCCCACAACTTCAAAGCAAAGAAACCTAGAGAGAAAGGTACCACAGAGTTGAAGGTTAAGACTTTTCAATGAATGGTAAAAATTTTTCTTTAGAGAATGAGAGAGAGAGAGAGAGAGAGAATAAGAAATAAAAGAAAGGTGAGCCTGGAATTTTTGTTCTTTGTTCTGGAGAAGCATCCAGTATTTTTATCATAGCCTTAGCAGCCCAATGTGACTAACAATCAGGTACCTCCTGATTGAATCTTGAAGTCTGTGATTCAAACTTCAAATGTTACTAGGCCAAAAATTAAGCCAACTCTGCATATTCTTGTCTTCATTGTGAATGGTTAATAAGAGTAAATGCAGCAATTACCTACATAGTAATGACCCTCCATAGTATAGCTCTTTCTCTTTGCCAGAGTTCCAAGAGGCCTAGGCAGCTGAGGACTAATAGAGTTTCCTCATGGGTTAAAAATGAAAATTAGATAATTATCTTTGATATATGGTTACACAAACATATGCAGCCTATAGATTAAGGAAAAAAGTATGTGGCAGTATGTTCAAAGTAACTAAGACCCAAATCAAGTTCTGTTTCTTTCCATCAGAAGTCAGTCTTCTATTCATGCAGTCTTCTCTAAGTTGTTTTCAGGATATTTGTCAAAATTTTGATTTTGTAATGTTTTTCACAGAGTTAGACACAAAGGGATGAAAAGAGATTATCCTGAAGAGCATAGGACACATGCTATTTACTGCATTAAAAAGAACACAAAATGATCCACATACAAATGCTTCTCCCAGTGGCTAGGTATTCAGCAGCCTCAGTGCCTGTTTCTCTGTATCATATTCCTGTTGACATACCACAGAGCATGTCCCTTCCCAGCCACTTATGTAACTCTTTTCCAAGACAAATGGTGGTCTCATGACATCCAACCCGCACTACCAAATTTTCAAGTTCAAATCCATATACAACCAAAGCAGATAAAAGGAATGAAGGTTAGCTTTCAAACTCCTTTTGTTAGGTTTTGCAATACAGATTTTTAAAATATTCAGAATATAATTTTCACATTGCAATAAAGATTGAAAGCTATGAGAGAAAACTAGACTCATCCATCAAGCATCATCTTAGAGATTTCCTTCTTGAATGCAATTAAAACTGCTAATTATGGACTGAAAAAGATAAATCCTTTGCCTACACATGAAGAATCTGAAGGTTTCTGTTCACAGGAAAGCCGCATGCCCTTACATGACTAAATATGTCTGTATTTATTTACTTTTAAAAATTAAAAGTGCCTGAAAAAGAATCTGAGGAGAAATGATGAAAGTTGCAAAAACTCATGGGGAAAAAATGTATTTGGAGACTCAAGATGGTCTTGATTTTATCCTGAGAATTTTCCACAGTAATTTATATCTTTGTATTGAAGTTCCAGAACTGTTGATTTCGAACAGCCCCTGCCCGACAGGCTGTGTAGGACACATGGATCCAGAAACCCAGTGGGAAAGCCAATGCTACTCCAGAGCATTTGTAATAAAAAACAGCTCTTTTCTTTTCTAGGTGGTGCAGTGATGCTGCTGGTTTATGAATACACCTATTCATGGCTTCAGGAGAACTGGTGATTGCCTAGGAAGTGTTTTTCCCCCTTGAGATAATGGATATTTGCTCTGCAGCACCATGAAGAAGAGAGACTATCGATCAGCCAGGTGTATAATAATAAAGGAGAAAACTATTCAAGAACAAAATCCATTTTAATACTTTAAAAATTATCTTTTGGCAACTTGAGATAATAGTTTTGGCCATATAAATAAAACTATGAGAAGAAAAAATAATATGAAACAATGAGGTATTTAAACTGAATATAGAAAAATAGCATAGAAATCATATATTTCATAAAAGAAATATAAACTTTGTTTCCTATGTTCCTCTTCACTGCTTCACAACAAAAATTCATTGTATTGATCAGTATTTTTCCTAAGAGGTCTATAAATGCTTAAACTATTGAAAATAAATGAAATTATTCAAAGACTGGGTTAAAAAAAAGTTAAGCCAAATTTAAACAGTTTTTATAATGAATTAAATTAATCAATAAACAATATTTAAAGAGCACAAGAAAAATGTTTTTAAAGTGCACTAAAATGACCTTTATGAATACTACGTTAAAATCTGTTGGTTTTCATTAGTGATTATGCACATCTCAGCTCTATTTTCTTGTATCTACTTTATATATCACAGTGTTGTAAGAAAATAAACAGGTATTTTAAAACACTGTTTAAAACAGAATGTTAAAACACTGTTGTTTAAGCATGTATTTTTAAATCATGATATCCAAAATCTCTTCTAACAAGTAGAAAACATGAAATAAACTTAAACTACTTTCTTTCACATCATTCTCTTTGAAGACAAGTTTTGTTGATGAGATATTTTCATGTTAAATCACAAATGGGAAGCACTCCTTGGACCCATTTGTGCCATTAGTATTTCATCCAAATACCTTTGTTCAGCTTGCCTACCTGTGCCATTTTAAGTAATAATGTATAGAACAGAACTGCATTTCCAGGTTATTAGGTTTAAACAACAGCTTCAGGTGTGAAGTTGGCTGTCTGCAGTATTAAAATATGTATGATGAAGGGGAAATGTCCAAAAAAGAAATACACTTAGCATTTCCAAGGGTTACTATACCAACATGTACCACCAAAAATATCTCCCTGGTCTTGATATAACCAAACTTGATTTTATATCTGCATCCAGAAATGATGCTGATTCAGTAGCTAAAGTCAACAAGAATACCTGAAAGTCCCCATGACACCTGTCCTAAATTACTAGTGTGGGCTATTACTACTATAGGCTATTTCACTAAAGCATTTTGAAAATAAAAAGTAAAAGATAACATAGTAATTATTATTTTTTATTAATTTAGAGCATTTGAAGTATAAAAATAAAAGGCTTTTGACATACTGTATATACATACATAGCCTTCTGTTGTACATCCTTTCCAACGTGTTTTTAAAATTTATATTTCAGTCCAATATTCAATAAGAGGGTCGTTAAAAACAAAATAAAAAATGTTTTAAAAAGAGAAATAAGAATGTGTCTCTGTTACACAACTGCATTCTGTCCTTGCAGGTAATTCTCTTGCATCCTATGAGAGCACTGCCTGTATAGAGGCCATGAAATTGAACCTTTAACCTCTCCATGTGGATGAGATAGAAAAGTATTTCTGAAGAGTACATTTGCCAGTTAAGCAACACTTTTACCATCTACGAGACAGAGGAAATATGTCAACATTAACCAATAATAAAAATCTTTGAAAGCTCTTTAATCTATCCTATTTTCCTTCTCATATTTTAAAAACTGGCTTTAAATCATAATTTGCTTTGAATAGCAAATTGTATCTGTTGTCTTTTAAAAATTACTCCATGTGAATTCATTGTTAAGACGTAGGGGGAGAAAACAAAACTTTGATACCATTAATATTATATTTTTTAAAATACAAGAACCAGAAAAAAATATATAAATAGCACAAAAACAAGAAATTTCTTAAAGAAAATAACATTATTTGCATTTCCACATAAGCAATTAATATTTTTTAAAGCCCCCTCACAGCCACCTAAAAACATGTGATAAAGAAAAGTTCTGTACCTTATGTCAGTTTTTCAGACAACAGGAGAGTCCCTGTATGGTGTGGTTTTAAAGTCTCCACCAAAATATTGGATTGGATCTTTGTTCCATTCAGTTTATAGTCTATTTTCTCACCAGACTGGGAACTCCAGATGTCAATGGGAGTTTTACAAGATCAAAGGAAGACTACGGCCCTGAGAGTTCATCTGTTCCTTCTGCTTATTCTTCTCCTGAAGTTATAATCCTCTGTTTGCAGCACTGAATTTCGGTTGCTTTAGAAATAAATGCAGTTCAAAGCTCTCATAAGATATCTGCTGTTTGAAAAAAGCAGTCATTCTAACAAAATTTGTGTGTCAGAAATCTGCTTACTGTTTACATCCTAGTGATTTGAAAACCTAATCTAGCCATCTGAGTTTCAAACGAACCCATGAAACCAACGTGGTGGAACCGCATTGCCATGTAGACTGTGCACAGCCCAGACAGGAAGAAATTAAAATCACCTAGGGAATCCAGCTTCAACGTCCATATCCAGTGAGGTGCTCTTTTAGTTATTGCACAGAATTATTACCAAAATGCCCTCAATATATTAATTTTCCAACAGTTGAACTGTACCAATGTCCGAAAAACATATTTTTAAGCCTATACTGCCAACCAGGAAGAACTTACTAAACAGAAGTGATTAAAAACTGTAGAATTTTGCCGCAGAAAATCAGTTGTTTTAAAATCCAACACATACGCACATGCTCACACACACTTATACCCCACAGCTGTTATTAACATTAAAGTGAAAATCAATTGGTCTAGAAAGGTTTATGAGTTAAACTGTGTCCTGTAATTTCAGAAATGAATAAAGGGAATTTGTTAAAATTAAATAGAATTGTATTTCTAGTACCACCACCAGTTTACCTACATATGAAACATGCTTCTGTACAACAATGTAAACTTCACAGCAAGCCATTGTTACATTCATTAGAGCAGAATTTTCCATTTTCTTTAAATTGCAACATAATTTTGGGCTGAGATTGCTGAACACACAGGTAAGCCAACAATAACAGTACAATTTAGTTTCACAGTGGTTTTCTTTATACAAAGTTCATTTTAAGTGTCTTTGCAAAACATTTCACATTAGACTTCAGTTTCTAAGTGACTTCCTTTAGAGCCTTCTTGCTCAGATATTTTCCACCCTCTTGTCTTTATATGCTTAGCATGTGTGTTGTTTGATTAGGTACAAAATGGAAGACTGGCTTGTTTTATCTGTTTTTTTGTGTCCTCTGCTATAGAAAGTGTCCTTCATGAGATATTGAAGCCTTCACTGCATACACAAAATTTGGGGGCAAATCCAGGTCCAGGAGCCCAAGCAGCCCACCACCAAACAGAGACAAAGACTTTCCAGAAAGTCACCTTTGCAAAAAAGAAAGAAAAAAAATAGAGAGGGGTTGGGGCTTGGGGAGGGGAATATCTTAGGGAATGAAGACACAAATGCACATTCCAGAGTCCATATTTACAAACTAATAGAAAATATAAACATTATTGTATTTGGAACCAAGTCAAAACCAGGAAGAGCTAGATTCAGATATTGCTTGGATTCTACACATATTTTTCAACAAAATAAGTCATGTCTTAAAGATAAACAAAGGATCACACAAACAAGTCAATTATTGATTGGTTTCCTAATGATGAATTAAAGCTTACTTGGTTACCATATTTGATTAGAGGGTGTAAAATAATTTTTTTCTATAAGTATTTTCCTTTATTGATTTTGCAAATCTTAACAATTGCACATTTCAAAAGTTCGGGTTGATTTAGAATAAATATACACACGTGTGGTTTTACCAAAGACTAGTTTTAAAAGTTCCTTAAACCCTTTGAGGGGTGTAGGTCTCTTCGCTATGTTAAGACAGTATATAGGCAACACAAATGTCTCATCCAATGCTTATTGTTGCTCCTGTTTTTAAATCCTAAAGTCATGTCAGTTTTTCTGCAAGAGAAAAGTTATGGCAAGAAATATGTAAGTGTCATCAGCACAAAGGATGTGAGTCCGTACAGCCAGCTTTCAAGGCAGGAGGGTTGAGATGTGAGGCCTGGGAATCGGGGGAGGTGCTGAGTGGGGAGACCCGGGTGAAGCTGCTGGAGACAGAATTTCCCATCAGAGTGCGGAAGCCGTGACAGAATGACTACCTTCTCTGGCTGCCTGCATTCCCTTGAATGCCAGCGATGCTGGAATGTCACAGTTGTGGGGAGACAGTGGGGTGCTGCCAGCATGTTGCCACCCATGTCCACCAACGTAACCAGAAGGAGCAGCGCTGTAGGTCATGTAAGGCGACACTTGGGCCGGGGTAGGGTAAGGAGCCATGCTGGACGCTGACACAAAACTGCCCACAGCTGGGAGACCATTTGGTGCCTGAGAGGAGTAGAAAAGAAGTGAAAAATAATCACATTATAGTAGTGAACATTTCACAGGTTCTTAGAAAGAAGCAGAACCTAAGTCTGAGTAAGCCAACAATGCTCTGACTAATTTCCGATATTTTTTAAAAATTTGAGCTTTATAATGTTCTAAAGACATTCACAGTCTTGCCACTTAAACAAACATAATGGCAAGATATTACTCTTTCCACAAACACTTAGAGAAAGCTACAGCCAGAAAATTCATAGTATTTGCTTGCACTATTTGGAAGTATAGGAAGGAGGTGCAGAGCAAGAAAAGAATCCATGGCAATTAAATACTCTTAGAATCTATCCAGCTGTCCTCATTGCCTTTGTCAGCCTTCCCGGGACTTGGGTTTTGTTTGGCTCTTTTGTTGAGGCACTTGTGACAGGCCTGGTTGGTATAGCTTTCATTTTCAGTAAAGAAGGGCACAGACTGCAGGCCGTCATGTTAGAAATGCACAACGAACATGACCTTTGTTAAAGAAAATGTAGACCATATTTTAAGAGATCATGTTGAAAATGCTCATTGGACAAAGGACATACAAAAATCAGGCGCTTTGTCTTACAAGGGTTTTTAAATGAATATTGCAGGTACTTTTTCCAGGACTGTTTTATCAGAAAGGAAACTGTCTTTCCCCATATAAAAAAAAACTGCATATGCCTGGTTTTGAAAGTAGAAATTTTGCTTGCAAAGTTTTTGGGCCCTGTTATGTGAGTTTTTAAAAGCCATGTGGATAAATCTCTTGAAGTGAATTTAGAAGTTAAAATCTTTGTTTGCAAACATGATGCAGCAGTCCTGGCAGGCGAGCCTGCCTAGAAACCAGTGCTGTCTTGGCATCCAATGAATTATTGTTGGTATCGTTACTATTAACAACACTAAAAACACTCTGATTTTTAATCCTGATTCTGGCATGAACACCGGGCATCCTTCAAGTAGTCTAATTTTTCCCCTCAATTTTTATACTATTTAGAAATAAAGAGTAGATCCTGTGTCCTGATAGTGAAATATGTTAAATGATATTTAACATATTTCCTACTGAAAATATCATGTAAATACTAGAATTTTATTAGGAAAATTGATTTAATCCTTAGAATTAAGTTAATCAGGTGTATCTTCGCTAGATGCCTTTTCCTGTTCAATTGAAACACAGGAATTATCTTCTAATTTAATTTGTTTGAGTTATTGTTTTCAATTCTGCATCTATGAGAATGCAATGGTGTGGTCTCAAAAGCTATTTTCTCAATGCAGAGTGGATGGATATGCACATGGAATAGAATATACACTTATGACTTAACATTGCTCATGTATGACTTAACATTGCTCATGGATTTCTGAC